ACCCCACGCTGCATGGACTCTTTAAGTCACAACCGTGTTGTAGATGCAACTGTTTTGAGGCTGTGTGTGGAATCAGAATTTTGTGTAGGTTTAGAAGCCTGAGTCACAATGAAAGATTGAACTCAACTGGAAGTGCCACAGTGCTTCAGGTTGAAGTTGTTTTTAGGTTGTCTCCCACATAAATTGAAGCGAGGCTTAAATAAAAGATAGCAATAGAAATAAATAGAAATAGAAGCAGGGCACCAAAATCTTATGGAAGGAAACAAATTAACTAGTTCTGAAAGTAGTGCCTTAGGTAGCAGGATTCAAACCCTGGCTTGAAATATGTCCAACAGTTTAGAAATCTGCAATTACATATATATATATATATTTTTTTTTTTTTTCTAGAAGAATTCCAACTATAAGAATATAAATAGGTAAAGGGATGAAGTTTTATTACCAAAGCAGCCACAGCCATTGAGAATTTCATTAAGGGAAAGTTCATGTCAAAGCTGATGACATCACAGCACATTTACAGGGTATTCTCGACAAAGCGGTGCACTTTCTGCTTAGAGGACACACCTGGAACTTTGACATGATACACGCTGCTTCTCAAGTCATGCCTTATTGTTAGCTCATGGCCAAAGTCCTTATGGGCAAACAAGGAAGTCCTGTGTCAACCTGACCCTGAAACACACACTGAATGGGTACCTCTGCGTAATAATATGTCCAAGTTTTAATATCACAGAGGAAACGCCAATACGAAACAATAATCCAACAATAACAATGACAGAACTCTTGGTAAAAGTCACTGCAATTAGAAGCCTGCCAGGTCAACGCTGTCACTGAACATTGGACGTTTAGCCTGAAACTTGCAGATATTATTTTGTCAGGATTATTAGTCAATCCCATGGAAAAGTTAGGATGAGAAGGCTGTGCTGGGGATTTAGAAAAAGCAGCACTGGGGACAATTGCTCTGTTGAAGGTTCACTGTGCTGGCAATGGAGGGCCTCCTCAAATTTAACTGCAAACACCTTCAGGATCACTTCATAACGTCCCGTTATGCCAGCCCCCTTCGTGTGAGCAGCCAGAGACTAGACTGGCCAACTAAGATTCTTTACCTGAATGCTCACTTGTTTGTGTTTTCTAATAGCTAATTTCTGTACTTCATAAGCTCTTCCAGGTCTCCAATTACACTTCCAAAGTGCTCATTCTGTGCCCTTGATTTTATGCCACCTTGCGGTGGGATCCGATCTCTGATATACCTGATAAATTTGATCGGCTGTGCTATCTATATACACAAATGTGTATTACCGTGAAATAAGTGCTTAATTAGCTTAAACAAAATTGCCTAATGTGCTAAGAGAATAAGTGACTATAGTTTTCAAATATAAAAGTTTTGTTCTATTTTTGGAAAAGAGATAATAAACATAAAGATTATATCTCTCTACCCCCCAAGTACCTGAAAAATGAATTATTTTAATTAACATGCAATAGTCTATTTCTGTTCCTCATGTAGTGAAAGCTTTGTTAGAATACAAATCACTTGGCATCACATTAAAATACATTCTGTAGGCTTCTTTACATCAACTACGTAAATTTTAGTTTAGAGATTGTTACAAAAAAATAGGTAACTTGCCATTAATTATTAACTAAATAATAATTTCTGATACATAATGTACTAATGGCAGCTCGCAGGGTTGATATTTTTCTTCTGTTTTGTCATCACTTCAGAAACCATAAGAAAAAAAATATTGCTCTAGAATAAAAGAGTGTACCTTTTCAAATGTTCATGGTTTCTGGTGTTACTAAAACACTCAAATCTGTAGTTTTCAAGCAATTTAATTCTGAATTTAAAAACACTTTTAGATTGTTGTACATGAAGACTTCAAGTTTAAAAGAAACGTGACAAACATGAAGCGCTTAAAATATTCTTTAATTTATAAACCAGTGCACATTATTACAGCCTTAGCTCTTTCTTATTGTTGTCATTCCACTGCTAATATATATATATCCCTCAATACGATGTATTCCCATTTTACTTATCAACACATTTATTGTAATTCAAAACTCTGTTTTCATGTAGTTCATTTAATCTAAGTTTATTATTTCAACTTTTACATCACCAATGGGCAACTAAAATATTGTCGCCTAATTTTCTTCCTATTTCCTTTCGTCATATGCCAATTGAATTCTTTTGCATAATGACTTTTCTGAACTGTTCGGCTTGTGTTTTTAATGAAACAAATTCTCCTCGCCTAAGCAGAGAAGTCTGCTATACACGTAAGTCACCTGGGAGCCTGGCCAAAGTCTGCAGCAGCACAGCTGAAGGGTACAGCCATTTCACAGGGGCCGCGGCCAGTGTTTGGTTTGCTTCTCTAACTTGCTAAAAATAGTCCATTACACAGGCTACCTCCATCTCACAGCTCAAGAACTCACAAAAGGCCTGACTGAGGATCGCAGCAACACACAGCGCACATTTTATTAAAGAAGTCAGGATATTGCAAGTTTTCTCAATTCCTTCCGTTTACTCGCTGAGACAATACAAATGGTCTAGCAGTTACTGGCATGGAAATCTCATAATGCTCCCAAATTTCAGAACTTCAGGCATGAGTCACAGACTTGCTTTAACTGTTTTTAAATATGTTTTTGATCTATTTTAGCCACAAAATTGAACACAGGAAGGCTACTCTACAAAAGGTAGGATTCCAAACACTGTATTAAGAATCACATGTGTTAGGATTATATTTTTAAAAAAACAACAACAACTAATTTTTGAAACATGAATACTTAATTACCTTTTCAAAAATCCTAAAATGAATTCTAAATATAGTTATCTCACTCACATTCAAGGAACTACTGCTCTGGGAATGAAGCTTCGCAATAAATACGTATGTGTCTTCTTCCTCAGATTCAAATCAAAATATGGTTTTTAAATCAGGTTTTAGACTGCAAAGTAAATTTCAGTTTCTCTTAGGAAGACGAAGAAGAGAGACGAAGCCTGCATTGATTAGCTGCTAAAATGGGTTCCTTTCATCAGTCAATTTTTAAACCTTCAAATTATTTGTTGTTTAAAAATATATATATAAGTCCTTGATGTGGCGGTTGGATCTTGTTAACCACACAGCGCTTCTCTAAGCAAAGCTGCTGCTCTACTCAAAGGGAGACTGTTCCGCGGCCACAAGTGAGCAGCGACTAAGAAAAATATTTTGAGATGGAGAAATAGCAACTGAATCTGAATGTTCCACAATGTTCCCAAAAGCTGTGGAGGCAAGTCTTCTGTGAAACCACTCAATGTCACAGCCAAGCTATATGCCCTTCATTTTGCAGCTACGAGTGCACCATGGACTGTCTGTAGGATTAAAAATTGGATTTACTAGTAATTGGGTCAAAACAGGGTTACTTATGGACACAGCTGTTTACCGACAAGTGTAATTAGCCCTTTGCCCCTCATTTTATGGATCCCCGTTTCTAATTGCACCTAAATTCAGTCGGCATGAATTGAGGAATACATGTTCACAAAGCTACAGCCACTGTGCCCTTCAATGGTGTCTTCAGAGGAAAGAGGGGAGGGGGGGAGGAGAGGGAGAAAGAACCCAAATGATAATTTATAACTTCTGCTTGCTGATCTTTAGGATTAGGACATTAAGAATGATCTAATATTATAAGTTATCTGTGTCACTGTTAATACTCTTTTCTATTTTTTAAATCCTACTCTGAAGATAATATCCTTGAGTCTTTGGAGAAAACTTTAGCAAAATGAGCAGCCCAAACTGGACCAAAAAAGCAATTAACTGAAGTAGTTAACTCTTAAGTGCACGCATGGCATCTGAGTGAATTGTATGTTGGCTTGTGAGTGAACTATTTCAGTTAATTCTCCCCATGTTACTAAATAAAGCATTATAGGATAACACTATTTTTTTCTTTTGCAAAACAAAGGATTAAACTATGAGCTTTTACTTCTATATGTATATATGTAGAAAAGACAGAGATTCCTGTCACAAAAGCTCAAAGAGGAAATTATATTGGCACGTTAGTATTTAAAGGCAATTGAATTAAAGCAAATGACAGGGCACCCAGGAATCTTCATACTCCTAGACTTGACCTTGCATGTCAAAACTAAAGACGGTATGCTGTCTTTTAAAAGAGCCACTTTCAACTCTGATACCTGAAATACAAGGACATTTCTGAAGGTCTAGTTATACTAAAGTGAATCTTTTAGTATTATGGTGCCAACTAACTAACTCTTAATATTTCTAGCTGAGATTGTTACAAATAAAAAATAATAATTAGGATCTAACAGAAAATAAAGTTCCTTCCCATTAGAAATTTAGAAGCTAAAAAAAAAACTCCAATGAATGATAGTACTTAAGAGTTTCTACTTATTTATTAAACTCAGATTCAATAAACTTTATGGCTTAGATAGGGTGCCGAAGGCAGCAGATCAGAACGTCTAATTATTTTTTTCCACAAATTGCATTGCTTCTGGCCTTAAAACAATATGCTCATACAGTGCAAAGGAAATCCATAACGTCAAAATATGAATATAAAACATCTTTCCCAGTTTAGCTGATCTAATATTTGCTATTCTTTTACAACATGACAGCACCTTATAAAACAAGCAAAATCAAACAATCTTCAGTCAGCTTCTGCCAAGGCCTTGTATATAACCTATGGATATGCTAACACACACATGTATCTACGTTTACTATTCCTATAGACACCCACTTATTACTAAGCTAAAAAGCTGACACTTTCTGCTCTAGGAAAAAAAAAAAAAAAAAAAAGGCATAGCATTCAAGGACTGATAAAGTTATTCATAACAAACAAGTTTGGCCAGGCTTCCTTCTATTCCATCTCCATCAAGTTCCCCCCCCAACCCCGACATCATCAACAAGCACACCCCGTGGAACTAAACTATTAACAGAGCAAATCCATAATCCCAAACTCGGGGAACTCTGTGTTCACATCCCCTCCATTCAATTATTGCATAGCCTTAAAATAATAGAACAGTTACTCACTTTCAATGAATCAAAGCAGGCGATTACGCGTCCATTTTCAACTTGGCAGCTTTTCGAAGGATGTGCAAATTTACATTCCGTGTCTGGCCGTGAGCAAGTCCCCCTTTGGAACTCTCTACATACTTCCAGTGTTAGCCATTTTGTGTCCCGAATCGGTGCCACACTAACAGCCATGTTTAGATTTTTACAGGTAGTTAAAATGTTCAGTGAAACCAACCAACCCAACCCCCCTCAAAAAAAAAAAAAACACCACAAAAACAACTAAAAAAAAAAAAAAATTCTGAACTGATCAAACTGTAAAAGGATGATGAAAACGTCCCCTCCAAAAGACTTTTGCCCCCACTCCCTGCTTTAAAAGTACATGGAAAACTGTGTTGTCAATATCAAGGAAAAGATCTCCCACGAGAAATTCACAGCATGAAACTGTTAATTCAAAGAGGTTTTGGTTTTGGGGGGTGTTTTTTTGTTTTGTTTTGTTTTTGTTTTAGAGGAATCCTAGGATCTTAAGTAGATGAACCTGTAAAAGGAGGGCCCGGAATCAGCCTTGTGCTCTCAGTAACCCCTTCCCAGAGCCAATTGGAGCCCAAAATGCAAGCATGAAAACGTGGCAGCCCCCTGGACACCGATTTTCCAAGCTGCTCTCAGCAAAGTTGTGTGAGAGGGAATCTCCTCACAGCTGAATTTGCAATGGAGTTTGGTGGTGCAATCGGTATTGATTAGTTTGGCATAGACAGATGCAGCAGTTTAGAGCAAAATCGAGAAAAAAAAATGATTTTTGTTTGTTTGCTTGTTTTCCTCCTTGATTTCCTGGCAGAAGAGATCTGACTTTTTTTTCCAGCAAACTTTTCTTTCAAAAAAAAAAAAAAAAAAACTAAAGCAGCCTAGGGCAATGCCAGATACTTAGAGCTTTTTTTCTCTTGATTTCTAAGTAGAAATGGGGGTGTCTGGGCTAGAGGTGGAGGGTGTATGTGCTGTCTTCACAGTCTAGCTGGCAGCAAGCAAGGCAAAAGCAGAGACTGCTCTAGAAGCGGTTCCAAGCAGCAGAGACGTCAGGAAAGGCACTTCTTTAGTACCAACCTGTAGAAAAAAGAGATAGGTTAAGATTTACTAAAGTAGCACTTCCCCGATGTCCTACAGTACCACAACCTTGCCATGTGCTACCGGACTAAGTCACATCCGTGTCAGCTCTCTTGCTCTCTGTCTGTCTCTCTCTCACACACACTCACTCACTCACACACACACACAATACTTACAGTGAGGCATATTGCAGCCAGCCATCGGAGATTTTTATTAAAAAAGGGGGCCGTTTCCCCTTGTGGAGCAATGCATGATAGAGAGGTAACCAATCACAGATAGTGTTGCAGCAATATTCTGGGCAGAAAGCCAATGGTGTGGGTTGTCTTATGAAAGGTCGCGCCTGTCAGACGTTCATTACTATGCTATAAGCACAGAAAATGTCCATCAGATGTGACTTATTCCACTGCAAGGGGACGAGCATGTGGGTTTTGAATTTACCCAACATGCAGCGAGTGGACTAAACCATGTTAGTTTCAAAACAGCTCCAGAGGCAAGTCCGAGCACTTGGAGATCATGGCCAGAGGGGGAGAAAAAAAAGAAAAGCAAGGTTTAAAAAAAAAAAAAAAAATGCAGCTGACTTCCAAACTGCTCTCCCCCTGGGGCTCTGAGCAGGGACGGGCTGGGAGCAGCCTGTGCCTGCCGTCCTGACACGTGAATAAAAAAGGAAAGGGGTGTTTCCGAATGGTACGTTCTCCTGACCTATCCAATTCACTTCCTTCTGAAGCCCGGAGTCCTGCCCCTCCGCCGAAAGCAGCACTCATACTGTAAAACTATTCCATTCAGCCGGCAGACACTTTGTCAATATATATCACAGGCAGGCGAGATGGGAACAAAAGCATCCTTTATTCGTACATTTTTTGAGCAGAAGCTGAGGTCATGTGGGGGAAAGAAGGAGCGCAGTGTTGTCAGGGTGTCTGGCAAATCTGAAGTCAACCTCCAGGGAGAAAGTGATTCCATTGCAGAAACATTAAATATTAAGTGGGCAATTGGGTTTGGGCAGCTAGCGGGATGCACTTCAGGGGTACGAGTGAAGCCAGAGGCTGGAGGGGGGAGGAGGGGTGATGTTGGAGGGGGAGCCCCTATTGCCTAATTACCTCGGCACTACAAGACTGCTCCTGAGAGCAAGGCATGTTTGCTTTCAGCAACTTAACTTTCTCTTTCATTCAGAAGGGCAGACTTTCAGAAAATGCTCAGCAGTTACAGAAGCAAAAGTATCTATTTTTCGTCAATGTTATCAGCAAAGGAAACAAGGCTTTAATAACTTAGAAGTTTCACACTCCAAAGAGGCAATGACACAGTATAATAAGTAGTGTTTGATGCTACTTCTTCAAGGGCCAAAATGGTCAATGGGCATATGGTACATTTATAACCCAGACACCAGAAAATGGCCTATAATATAGACTACATAACTGAACCAGAAGATAGAGTATGAATATATATAACACACATGTAAACATGAACATCTAGAAAATATTTTCAAATTTTTATTTTAGGGTTAATAGGTTAATACTGTCATTCTTAACATTATTTTTTTTTTCCTAAAACCTACCAGATACTTGGCTAAGAAAATATTGAAGTAACACTACCATTTTTGAGAAAGGTAAAAAAGAACCAACTCATATCAATGCTCAAGAAATATTTTTGTTTTCAACATATTTTCTGGTCCTAATCCCTACTTCTATCAGCACAAAGTCCCATCAGTCACCAACTCTAACATGCACCCACCTTCCTGAGTCTTTGCCCTGATTCAGAATTTCTCAGCTACTTCATGCCTTGAGCATGTGGCACACCTGAGTCAACAATCTCTGTTGTCCTTCCCTCTAGAGTTTTGAAATGCCTCACCTGCAACATTCACTTCCTGCAAAAGCCATCTAAGAGGTCACCTCCTCCAAAAAGCTTCCAAGAGGCCTTGTCCTCCCTCTCCATTCATATATTAGCTTGCCTCCTCTGAACTACTACACTGCGCCCTATCCAGGGTTTTATTTCCTTATAGGTCTGGTCCACTGTCCCCAAGGGCAGAAATAATTTCTGCCTAGCATAGTGAGGAAAAGGAGATGGATCTCCATAGATGAGGGTAAATCAACTGATCGATGACTATTGATATATATAGACTGGAATTATCTCCAGGGCACAAAGATGCACAAACACACATATGAGCACACCCTTGTAAACATATTTAGGAGCGCAACACATGAATATGATCACGTACTTGAACACACACATACACACACATACCTGTCACTACCGCTATAAATTACTACATCCCAGCGTCACGTCTAGAAATCACCTTGGCCTGGACAGCTCCCTCGCACATTCCACACAGCAACTTTTCCCAAACCTCATCCCTCTCCAGTCCCTACTCCTCCGTGTTCCTTTCTGTTAACAGGGGATGGTCTTATAGGGGAAGGTCTGACAGGTCACAGCTATTTCCTAGTCCAAATAGCGGCCCTAGGGCATGAACTCTCTCTCCCCTTCCCGCCACCCATCTCTACACTTTCTGCATCTTCTCAGTCACCCAGGAGTTTTCCCTTCTCCTGCCCACAGTTGAGCTTCCACCTTGACTCACCTTTTCTCAAGATTTCTTTCCCTTTATACTCCCTCAATATGTGAACTTTCCCTCAATTCTTTCTGAGCCCTCCAAGGGGTGAAGTAACTCCAGAATGGAGGCGGTGGCCTGGCAGGAGCCAGGGAACCCGGATGGCTACGTGTCCCCCTCCCGGGAAAGCTCTCAAGCCGTCATTCACAGTCTTATGTCTACCGTCTCATCTGCATGCGCTGTATTTCTGCTCCTTCCTCTCCCAGTCACCATGGAATCTGTATCCGTGTGACCTCCACACCTATCACTTCACCGTGCAGCACAGCCCTCAATGCCCCAGAAAAGGCAAATCCAAAGCCTTCACTTGACCTCTAATACCATTTACAACTCCCTCTTTCTTCCTATTTTTTAAAAAAATTTTAAATTACAGTGTACAGTCCATATTATTTTGTGTTCGTTTCAGGTGGACAGAATAGTGGTCAGACAATTATATATTTTACAAAATGGTTCCCACCTAGCACCATTATATAGTTTACAATATTATCGGGTAGAGGGGGTCAATGGGGAAAAGGAGAGACATCTGTAATACTCTCAATAAAGATAAATTTAAAAAATAAAATTATATATATACAGATATATATAATTTATATATATATATATGTGTGTGTGTGTGTGTGTATGTGTGTGTGTGTGTGTGTGTGTATACACACACTGAGTGGCCAGATTAGTATGTTATTATGATCTCTGAATGCATAATAATCTGGCCATTCAGTGTATATACATATATATATTAATATATATTATCAACTCTATTCCCTATGCTGTACTTTACATCCCCATAACCATTCTGTAACTATCAATCTCTTCACCTTTTTCACCCACTCCCCCAACCCTCCTCTGAGAACTTCCTCTGCCTTAAGCCTTTCTCCTTATCTTGAACTGGTACAACCTAGCTTTTTGGTTTCTCCCAGTGCTAGACTCCAGCCTCCTCCCTTTCAGAGAGGAGCCGGGAGGACAGGGAGGGTTCCTGGAATAGGCCATGCTGCTGGGAACTCCTGGGACTCCTTACAGGCTAACACTTTGTTTGGTTTGACACATACTTCTTCACCCCCTCAACCAGGCAAATCCTTTCTGCTGGTCTAAGTTGTTATTCAGTCATCAACTCAATAAGACTGGGCTGACTATGGTAAACATTATTTAATCTCAAATTATTATCAGTACTTTGTATCTCTTGGTTCTTTTAACTCCTAGGTTATAGAATCCTTGTCAATAGGGTTTATCATCATATTTTTACCTGGTACTTAGAACAGAGATTTTTTTTTAAATGTTTGATAAATAAATTTTATTTAAACTAATGAAGATAAACATTGCTATGACTATATAAGGATGTATCCCCAACCCTGAGAAAATATTTTAGCATCATCAATAGGGTCCACCTATATGAGGAAGGAGGATGGTACCATTAAAAATGTCCTCAATGCTTGGAAGTTATGCCCAAATATAATACAACCTCAAAATCCATTTCTAGAAGTGATTATTTTTCCCTTCTGCCATGTTACAAGCGTAAGCCACTCAGTTATTAAAATGCTGGCAACTGGGTGTTCTATTTTTTAATTTTTGTAGCGGAGAAATTCTACTTAGTTCAAAAGGCATTGTTGGAAGAATTATAGACATATCTCTATAAGTTGAAAATACTATTTAATTGTAAAGTATATTGGGGAGGATGATAACTAAAATATTTATAATTAGCCAGGCATGGACCCAGAACAATCAGAATGAATACCAACTTTTATTGCATTATTACCTAGCTGTAATGTAACTACTAATATATGTGTCCACCCCTGACGTGGGGAAGGGGGTAGAGGGCGAAGTAACAAATATAGATTACATTTTATAAATTTATTTGACTAAATTGCTGATATCGGATTAACTTTCTCTTTTGCTTAAATAAAACAATTTCATGGAGACTGAAAATCTTCATAACTTAATATACTGGTAATTAAAATTTCATAGGATTTGGACTACTACTGAATTCCCAAAACATTTCTTCAACTAGCAATGGATTTTTGTCCTATACAACAATATTGAAACAGGTGTGGGTAACTTTCAGACTTTTATAATTCTCGCAAACATATCTGCCCTAGAACTATGTGCTACTTATAACTATTAAAGGAAATATTGCTGCTGTGAATATATTTACTAGATAAATTGTATATGAGGTAAATTTCTGACCTATATTTCAACATTTATATAATTAAAGCCTAAACGACCATTATGGTGGAATGACCAGAACGACCGGTTGCTATGACGCACACTGACCACCAGGAGCAAACATTCAATGCAGGAGCTGCTTCCTGGTGGTAGTGGGCTCCCACAGGGGATGCGCTGCTAGCAAGCGCAGCTCCCGCCACCACGGCAGTGCTAAGAAGCAGCAAGCCAAGAGGTAAGGAGCAGCGGTCAGGCAGGTGGTAAGGAGCAAGGGATCCCGGACTGGGAGAGGGTTCAGGCCAGGCTGAGGGCCCACCCCCACGCCCAGGGCAGTAATTTATTATAATAAACTTCCCTCAACAACAACAACAAAAAGTTTAGGGAATTTAAATAGTTTTGCAGAGAGAATCAAACTACTTGAAACCAACCTAGTAACAAGCCCTTTATTTGATCAAATTCCAAACATTCACCTATAAGTTCCTCACATTATGTGACTTGTTCTATTGTACAAACAAGCAAGCATTTTCTGCCACAAGCACCAAAAAACAATTTCTCCTTGGGTGATACCAGAAATCACTTTTATTTTTTACTTTAAGATATGAGGGGGGAAATAAAATGTAAAAATAGAGGAAAGAAAGTCAAAAAAAGGTTCAGGGATAATTTTTTAAAATATATATTATTGATTTTTTTTTTTTTTTTTTTTTTTTTTACAGAGAGAAAGGGAAAGGGATAGAGA